AGTCTCTTATTATAATCCAATCAAAACTAAGTGAACAAATTCATTAAGCCACTTTACAAAACTACAATTCATAAATCATACAACTATAGCTTACTCCCAAAGACCTGTGCACACGCTGAGAAGCAGACCATTTCCTTTCTACTTGTTGGCAAGTCGTGAGGCGGCACATGTGCTCACAGAACCAGATTTGTGTATGTCTGACACTTAGAATACAGTTTGGGGTTGCAGAGACGCCACAAAAACCAAGAATCTTAATTCAGTATCATTTATACCACCACACTGCTCTCCAATGTGAACATAATTTTTTTAGTAGCACATTTCCCTTTTTATTTATTATAAATCACACGAATAACCTGCATTTTAGACATTATCTATTATAATCCCTATAAAAACTGGACTGGTAATGGAGAAAGGAGACAAATATTCATTGGAGAATTCTACAAACTGAATTCTCAGTTTGAGAATTCAGGGGGTGAAGCAGAAGAAAAGAAAACCAGAGAAGAAAGATGCTATCCCCCTGCTATACACAACACCCTCCAGCAAAAGGAACAGAGTTTAACCACAAGACCTCTGGTTCCTCATGATAATGATTTTCAAAAGAAAGAAAAGGAATAAAAAGTAAACTCAAATTGGCTTCCAGAGTACCCCTGTTGTCTTGCTTCAAATATATAACAAGCTGTACTCAAGATGGTATGATGGAGGAAAAAAGTCAACCCACAGCAAGTATGTTTGTAGGGACATGAAAAAGAACACATGGAAATTGGCTGAACAGCAAACATGATACACACATTATAAGTACAAAGCTCTCTAGAAATCAACGGAAGGATTCTGGAGAGAAGACGACCCAGAGTGAAAATGCTCGCACACCCAGCCGGCATATGAACACAAAAGCCAGCTGTGATAAACACTGGGGAAAAATCATGGAAAGAAAACTTATCTGTGACTTCAGAGTGGAAAGATAAGAAGCCAGAGCAAGTAATTCTGAGTAAAAATAAAGATTTATCTCTGTCAAAATGTTTGCATTTGTTGACTTTTCTAGGGAGAGTTTTAACACGACCTGCTAAGATCATTTACAGCTAGGATTACCAGCAGCCTCGGACACAGCCCTGCGCTCACTCACTGGAACCCCTTCTCTTTCCTAGTTGAAAAGCAAAATTTTAAATTCAAAACCATCCCATATCAGGGCCAAAGAGTCCACTCTCAACGAGGGTCCATCATGTTTATGCTGAAGAACTTTGCAACTCACCTTGGAATAGGCAGACAGGAGAATATTTTTAGGAAGCTAATTAAAAATATATAAATAAACTAAACACCTATTTAAAAGTAAATAATCTATTCTTAAAAACCAGAGTAGGGGGGCCAGCCCCATGGCCAAGTGCACACTCCATTTCGGGGGCCCAGGGTTTTGCTGGTTCGGAACCTGGGCACTGACCTGGCACCACTCATCAGGCCATGCTGAGACGGGGTCCCACATGCTACAACTAGAAGGACCCACAACTAGAATAGACAACTATGTACTGGGGGGCTTCGGGGAGAAAGAAAAGACAAAAGAAGAAGATTGGCAACAGATGTTAGCTCAGGTGCCAATCTTTAAAAAAAACTAGAGTAGGGAGGAAAGAAAAGTGGGCAAGGGCCATACACACTAGAATGCTCATATTTCCAGGGCAGCATTTTTCCATCCACATCCTTGACCATCCACCAAGTGCCAGGTACTACTCAAGGTGCTGGGACAGAGTGTAAGCGAGTGAGACCCAGGCCCTGGCCAAGAGGGCTCCTTAAGGAGTAGATATTTACAAAGCACAGAGAGCTCGCTAGAAATAATTGCTCTTGGCTGGAGAGAAAAGGAGGAGTCAGGACAGGCACCACGCTGAACAGGACACCTGAGCTCCGTCCTAGGAGGTAAGCAGGAAGTAGCAGGCAGAGGGAAGTGCATCTGCAGAAGCACAGATGAAAAATAGAGGACAAGCAAGTTCTACGGACATGTACCAGGGGCCAGGAACGTAGGCCCCAAGGCCAAGGAAGTGAGTTATCTGGGGCTTGACTGTTTCAGGTGTAGAATTCAGCATCCTTTTCTCTAAGTACCTAAAAAACTTATTTCCAGAAGCCATGCCCTTAGCACACATACTAATCTTTCAGAGATCTCCTCAAGATCTCAAACAGTGGATATAATATTTCTATATTTCTCCTCCTCTCATATATCCTGTTAGAACAGAGAGAGACCTTAGAAACCACATGGCAATTCCTGATGCTGCAAATGCCCCTCAAAAGAAAAAAAAGAAAAAGCAGAATTTGTATTAGATAACCTATTAACATATCTGCCCTGATCAAGAAAAAATACATTTGGCTTACTTTAAACGTTTTTCTAGCATTAATCAAATTCTCTTAAAGTGAAAGTTAGCTAGCTACTACTTTAAAAAGCAGCACATATGCTATGTATGAAATGAAGTATACAAAATACTTTTGTATATGGACAATAACAAAGTGAATGCACAAAACATGAAAATAATATTAGCATCATGAGTGATGTTTCTTCCTTCTTCCAAAATTTTCATTAATATTCTTTATACATCATCTTTTTAGCATATAGCTTTTAAATTAACTCCATATTACCTGAATATAAATGGTCTGCTTTAAAAAAATCTCCATTTACAAATTTATCAGTAGAGGAAAGCTAAATAATTAGTGTTAATGATTAGTGCTAGCATCTAAAAGTTACAAGAATCTATGACACATAACTTGAAATGGTTTAACTCTAGGAGAAACTGGGGTGAAATAATTACACAAGCCAAATCGAAGAGTTTGTGATTTATGGTAACTAATATTGTGAGTACTCAAGTGGATAAAAAACCCAATTAGATCAGAGAAAGAGTCATTTCAACCAGCTTAAAGGGCCAGGGAGAGCCCTCCTCCTGAGGGCGTGGAGCTCTATTGTCTGAATTCGATCCGAAGGAAGTAACAAGAAAAACAGGGGCAGGCATCCCCGACCCTTTCCGTGGGCCTGAAGGAAAGGAACATAAAGGGAAGTGTAGGCAGGCAAAGCCATCACACGGGGAGGAGGGGCCGGCCCCCCACAGGGCTGTCGCCTACACCATTGTCTACCCCATCCCAGCTAGTCTGGCGGGGAAATCACCAGCATTTCTATTGTTATAATCACAACTTCAGAACCTAATGACAAACACTAATAGTAACACCCTTCAGATCGTTACCAAAAGTTATTACTGAGGATGTTATAAGATTTATAGGCTTTGAGAAGTAGAATATACATAAACTTTAGAATCTGACACCTGGTTCAAACTCCTGAACTTCAAAATCCTTTACTAACTGCAGGCTCACAGGAGTCACTCAATCCACTGGCATCTCCACTTCCCCATTTTTCCAATGGGGATGACATCATGTCCTCTGACGCCTGCTGAAATAGAGCACCTGGTACGTGGCAGGGGCTTCGGTCCCCTTGCGAGCCTCTCACACCATGCGAGGGATCCCAAGCTCTTCCTGCAGTCAGTAAACTGGACAGGAGCCGGGAAACCCAGTGAGGGGAGAGCCCCTCTAATGGGACACCATCACTGCCTACACAGGGGAAGCACTCCACACAGCTGCTCCTGAAGAACTAGGTGGTTCTCTCCCGGCGGGGGCCCTTGGAGCTAAAGAAGCCTGCAGGCTTGCCACCACAACTAAACTGGACGCGCACAATGGAGGAGCAGTTTTATTTCCCATACAACACAGACTCTGTATGCTTAATTATCTAGGACAGGATTTCCCAACTAATAAATCCAAAACATGAGCTCTGACAGGCACGGAGGGGAGAGGAAGGCACGCAAATTATTAAGGTGCGGATGATCTGTGTCTTTTCTCTCCCATCTAAGGAAAAAGTGAGTTGTGTTATTTTTTAATATTTGAAACAGTAGCATATGGGCAGACAACCACTATAGGACAATAATTCAATTGAAGGACATTCTAGCATGCATGAACACTCAGAGTTCACCCTTGTGTAGTTTATTACATTATCAGAACCTGTGGATTGAATTACTTCCCTGCCAAGCCTCTGCTCTCCCCCACATAACATCTAATACTGCTTATCAAGATGCTGTCTGTGTCCTTTGGCCTTTGACCATCTGACATCTGAGGGTGCCTGTTTGTTAAGAGCGTTTTTTCAGAAACTCTGGGTTGTGTGCCCCTCACCACGCATATAACCGAGAAGGCCTAACTCCCCTCAAGGGAGTGTTGAAGCTGTACAGCACAAAGCTCCGCCAGCGTCCAGAAGGTCTAAGTCAACAGCTTCATCAAAGCCTTGACGGTGGCGTCTGGTCTAAGTTAACATTTAGAGTAAGCAACTAAGGCCCCTTTCCTGGACTGCTGCTGCCTCTGCTCTTCGCATCAGCTAGCCGAGTGCAGCTACAGCACACGCTGCTCTAAGTGCTGTTAGTGAGGAGCTGGAGAGACACTGTGAAGGTCTTTCCCTTAATCGATACCCACAGGAAGAACAAGAGACAGGAAAGGAAAAGTCAACGTGCAGCGACATTAGCATCCAGGCAAAGACAGACCTTCCCGTGAGAAGAAAAGCAGCTGAAGCCCCTTTCCCAAGCTATAAACAAATCCCCACCAACAACAGAACAGAAAAAGGATTTCAGGGGTGCATGCTGCCACCAACGGGACTGGAGAGCTCTTCTCCAGGAAGGAAGACTAACTCAATGAATCGGCTTCAAAACTAGAGAAATGAGCTTTGGATTATTCTGGATTACAAAAGAGGTCTTCCCCGAAGCGTTAATTTAACTGTAGCATATTCAGGGAAATAAGAAGATGGAGACAGAAGGCAGATTCATGTTTTCATTCCGTAGAGACCACATATTTGATTTTCTTGAAAATACACTAGCAACACAATACATAAGTGGGCTAAGCATATATGTAGGCAATTTCACAAAAAAAGTTTACGTAAATTGCAAACATTAAAAAAAAGTGACCTTGGGAGGACCCTCCGCCCCGGAGCCGCCAGCCGCAGCCGCAGCCGCAGCCGCAGCCGCAGCCGCAGCGCCCCTGCCGCCTGTCCCCCCTCCCCCGCCGCCGCCGGAGCCGCCTCGCGCACTCTGGGGTATGGCCGTCAATGTGTACTCCACATCTGTGACCAGTGAGAATCTGAGTCGCCATGATATGCTTGCTTGGGTCAATGACTCCCTGCACCTCAACTATACCAAGATAGAACAGCTCTGTTCAGGGGCAGCCTACTGCCAGTTCATGGACATGCTCTTCCCTGGCTGTGTGCACTTGAGGAAGGTAAAGTTCCAGGCCAAGCTAGAGCACGAATATATCCACAACTTCAAGGTGCTGCAAGCAGCTTTCAAGAAGATGGGTGTTGACAAAATAATTCCTGTAGAGAAATTAGTGAAAGGAAAATTCCAAGATAATTTTGAGTTTATTCAGTGGTTTAAGAAATTCTTTGACGCAAACTATGATGGAAAGGATTACAACCCTCTGCTGGCGCGGCAGGGCCAGGACATAGCGCCACCTCCTAACCCAGGTGATCAGATCTTCAACAAATCCAAGAAACTCATTGGCACAGCAGTTCCACAGAGGACGTCCCCCACAGGCCCCAAAAATATGCAGACCTCTGGCCGACTGAGCAATGTGGCCCCACCCTGCATCCTCCGGAAGAATCCTCCATCAGCCCGAAATGGCGGCCATGAGACTGATGCCCAAATTCTTGAACTCAACCAGCAGCTATTGGATTTGAAGCTGACAGTGGATGGACTAGAGAAGGAACGTGACTTCTACTTCAGCAAACTTCGAGACATTGAGCTCATCTGCCAGGAACACGAAAGTGAGAACAGCCCTGTCATCTCGGGCATCATTGGCATTCTCTATGCCACTGAGGAAGGATTTGCACCCCCTGAGGACGATGAGATTGAGGAACACCAACAAGAAGACCAGGACGAGTACTGAGGGCGGCTCCAGCCCTGGCTGACTGCACGGCTTCCGTGCGTCCCCACCCCGCTCCCACCCCCACATTATAATCCTTTCCTTACAGCCTGTCGGCCGGGTGCTTTGTGTCAGTGCCGCAGCACTGGGGAGCCTGGCGAGCAGGGCTTGGAGGGATAGGGCAGGTGAGCAGGCAGAGGCCCCGTCCTCCTGTGGCACTGGCCCAGTGGGCAGGACCCCTGCCCACTCCCCACCCCTATTTATTTCCGTTGTCTCTATGCTGTGTCGGCCAACACTTCCCAGGGTGCTGCTGCCACCCACCCCAGCCAGCCGCCTGCTCCCCTGACAGCCAGCAGCTGTATATTTGACAAAGTCATTGGTATATTTTTACTTACTGGATTTTCCTTGCACTTTACCTGTTCTTTTCCGAGGGCTGACAGCACGGCTCCAGGGCAGTGTGCCTGGCTTGGCTTCCCCTCCCTGTTGCCTGGGGCCGTGGCAGGACTCACAGATTCTTATTTATTTTGTCTTTTGACTTCCCAGTAGTTGAGGGGAAAGCTGATGTCAGGAGAGGGAGAAGGGGACTGAGGAGGGGGTGCCTTAGGCCCCGGTGGTCAGGGAGAGGGAGGGGAGCATGTGAGGGATGAAAATGACCTCCTGGCACCAGGCTCACCCACCCTCGGCCCCTTACCCCCAGCACCGAAGCCAGCACTGCCCCGAGACCCCCAGCCACTCCCTCTGCAGCTTGGTTCATACCACACAGACTCCGCCTGGACACTCCAGTATCCTCAAAAAAAAAAAAAAAAATTGACCTTGGGGCTGGCCCCGTGGCTGAGTGGTTGGGTTCCCGCGCTCCGCTGCAGGCGGCCCAGTGTTTCGTTAGTTCGAATCCTGGGCGCAGACATGGCACTGCTCCTCAAGCCACGCTGAGGCAGCGTCCCACATGCCACAACTAGAAGAACCCACAACGAAGAATACACAACTATGTACCGGGGGGCTTTGGGGAGAAAAAGGAAAAAATAAAATCTTTTAAAAAAAAAATTAACCTTACTGGTAATTTCACTAAGTGAGTGAAGTTTTGCGTCACTATGTTTAATGAGAATCTCCAGCATGGAAAGGGTTTGACTGAAAAATAAATAAATAAGGTGCAAAACTGCACACACAGAGTAGAGGCAAGATTTACAAACAAGGGTGCTGGTGTCAGAAAGGCCTGGGTTCAGTTCAGAACTCTGTCACATAACAGGTGCTCCAGCGATGCTGGACAAGTTTCTCAACCACCAAGCATGGCTCGCATGCCTCATTTATGAAACGATGAGTGCTGGGACCCAGCCCCCTTGCTCAGAACTTAAGAGGTCATGCATGAGCGGCACTTTGCACAGGACCTAAGAGTAAGCACTTAATACGAGATACCGAGACATCCACCATCAATCACCACCCCTGCACTGGCTTTCTATGCACCTCCTCGAAAGAGAGAAAGAACCCAGCTGCTAAGTAGCAACAGCCTAGCTGGAATTTCCTCATCCTTGCAGGGGAAAAAAAAAAAGCTCAGATCCTGATGATCCCTCTTTAATGGTGATTTTAAACTGTAGGCTTCTGACCAGGAGCTCCACCACAACTGAAAAGGAGCCAGCCAGGGGCCGGCCCCGTGGCCGAGTGGTTAAGTTCGCCCGCTCCGCTTAGGCGACCCAGGGTTTTGCCGGTTCGGATCTTGGGCGCGGACGTGGCACCGCTCATCAGGCCACGCTGAGGTGGCATCCCACATGCCACAACTAGAAGGACCCACAACCAAAAATACACAACTATGTGCAGGGGGGCTTTGGAGAGAAAAAGGAAAAATAAAATCTTTAAAAAAAGAAAAGAAAAGTGAACCAGGCGCCCTGAAGACCAGGTAGAGGCTGACGGGAGCAGCGAGCGAGCAGGGCGCGCAAACAGGCAGCGATGAGGGCCCGCGCCCACTGCAGACGCCGCGAGAACGCCAACGCCAATGCCCAAGGACCCAGACACCAGCAGGGCGGCTCTCGTACAGGCAATGCCAGTCCCACCTGTCCCCACACTTCTGCTGCTGACACAGCTCAGCCGGCGACAGCCAAGACCCTAGGCTGCAACAAGGCCCTGGAGGAAGAGCACCCAGCACCCCCGACAGCGATTCCCGGAGGGTGCGCGCACTCGGCCGCCTCGGGGGCGCGGCAGGGCCGGGGCCGGGGCCGCGGGGCCTCTGGCGCTCAGGGCCAGCACGGCTCTGGAGGACAGCGGGCGCAGGGCGTCAAGGTTCTCTGATCCCCGACTGCTCAAAAGCATCCGTTAGTTCCAGCACAAATTTCCAGAACACACTACTGAGTGAACGAGTGATGGCTCCAGCCCACCACCGCCGTCTCCCAGGAGAGGGCTGGGCCCGCCTGAGCCGCTGTCCCTCGACAGCGGAAGAGACAAAGGTGGGGGAAACGAAGCACAAAAGAGAAAATGCTTGGAGAGTTCAAATAAGACGGGTCCTGGGCCTCCGTTACCTCACCCACTCTAACAGCGGGAACTGCTCGCCGCCTCCACGCGGAGTAACTCCTCAAAACGCCCTCCCGGGGCCCCACCCCAGGGGCCTAACTCTTGCAAGGGCCCAGGCCGCCCTCCCTCGGGGCCTCTCACCACACCGGCCCTCCAGCGCCGCCATCTCCACACTCAGGGTGTCTCTCGGCTCCTCAACCTGTCACCGCGCCTCCACACGCACTGCTCTCTCCCCACAACCCTCAGCCAATGCCCACCCACCCTCTGCATCTCAGCTTGAGCGGAACCCTTCCCTCTGCACAAAAGCAGGCGTTGTCCCCTGCAGTACATCCCATAAAGCGCTGGACTTCTGGCAGCACCCTGCCAGGCTTAATCTGTTGAAAGTCCGTCTTTCCTGACAGGCTCTGAGCTCCGTGAAGGCAGGGCCTGCTCTGGGGTTACCCACTGTAGCCCCAGCATGAGACGTGCTGGACCAGCTGAGAAGACTCCAACTTCACCTCCTTCTCCAAGCACTTCAGCCTCCAGCCAAATCCCTCAAGATGCCCCAAACCCCATCCCTTTACCACTACTGCTCTATAAAAATCCAGGTCACCCCTAAAAACTGCTCACAGGCCACCTCCTCCAGGATAGCTTTCCCCACCTCCCAGCAGCACACATCCCTCTGACCTTCACCTGGTGGAAAGAATCCAGCTTCAGAGCAATCCAGACCTACCTCTAAATCACTCTGCCACCGACAAGGTGAGTGACCTGAACTGGATGGAGCCTCATTTCCCAAATAATAAAATCTAACTCCTGGGACTGATGAAGTAAAACACCCAACAGACTCTGGCACACAGTGCACCTACAACGACGGCTCCCTCCATCCACCCTCCTCTGCGCCAGGTGTGGTCTGTTGCTAAGTTCTCTGTCTTACCCTGAGAGGATACACCCCTTGAGGGCACTGCCTTATGTGCTTCCCCAATGTGAAATCATCCTCATCAAGACAGTAACAATAGCAGCATCTCACACTTAATGAGTGTATTAATGCTTACTGAGTGTGTATAGATAGTACTTAATTTCTAGTATGTACAGTGGACCCCATTTTTAATTAAACATATCCATCCAGAATAAACATGAAATAAAATATATCTATCTCTACATTTGGTACCCCAAAGTCTTTTTGTAGTTTTAAGTTTTAAAAACTACAGAATTATAAAAACCTACAAACTTAAAAAATACTTCATTTGGAAGTTTATTTACATTTCTAGGTTGGTTTTTGTTTTTTAGGAAGAGTGGCCCTGAGCTAACATCTGTTGCCAATCTTCCTCTTTTTGCTTGAGGAAGATTGTTGCTGAGCTAACATCTGTGCCAGGCCTCCTCTCTTTTATGTGGGACATCACCACAGCATGGCTTGACAAGCAGTGCGAGGTCCACGCCCAGGATCTGAACCAGCAAACCCTGGGCCGCCAAAGTAGAGTGCACAAACTTAGCCACTATGCCACGGGGCCAGCCCCTATTTAAATTTATTTTACACTTAGTTTATAAATTTTGAATGCAGAGTTTTTCGTTTTGCTTAAAGACTGGCACCTGAGCTAACAACTGCTGCCAATCTTTTTTATTTTTTCCTGCTTTTTCTCCCCAAATCCCCCCAGTACATAGTTGTATACCTTTTTAGTTGTGGGTCCTAGTTGTGGCATGTGGGACGCCGCCTCAGCATGGCCTGATGAGCAGTGCCATGTCTGCGCCCAGGATCCGAACTGGGAAAACCCTGGGCCGCCGAAGCAGAGCGCGTGAACCTAACCACTCGGCCACAGGAATAGCCCCAAAGCAGAGTTTTAATTTTAATGTTTCAGTCCCTCTGATTAAAAACGGCAAATACTAAAATTCCCCAAACAGAATTTGAGGAAGCTTAAGAAGTTACATTCACTTCAGCTACTAAAGGAATCTTCTCTCTCTCTTTTCATAGCAATGCAGTCAATCTGGAGGCAGTAACTGATGGATGCTACGCCTGTAGGTCCTTCTCCCCACCTGAGTACAGGGCAGGGAGCTGGCAGCTCGGCTGCTGTCACGCCTTCTCTCTCTCTGTGGAGGGCACACTGGCCCCCATATTCTCCAGGCCGGAGGCACGTTCTGCCTGTGCTTGCTTCCTACCCAGCACGTAACTGGTCTCCATGGTATGAATGAGACCCGTGAAGTGTTTCAGGAACTGTACCCCCTTCTTACTGCTGACAGTCACAGACAGGTACAACCGACATAAACGAGCTTCCCAGCCTGTCATTTCACCACCCGAGTGCAGTGTTAAAACATCCTTCTGGCCCATTCACGGCCCTGGACCTGCAGGAAGCTAGTATAGATTACCTCCCCTACTCGAATCTGATAGTTCTATTACTGCCTGTCAGGTGGCCTTTAAAAGCCTGAAAATCTGGGTCACGCTTTAGCCATCCTGGGTTAAAGCAGCTTATGTTTGAGTCTACAGAAGCACGGTTCTCAGCTAAGCTAGAGCATTCTTCAACTGCTATGCTCTCAAAGAATTTCAGGAGATGACACTGGTTACAGAGATTAACGAATGCAGAGACTTGTAGATGACTCAGACATGATAAAGTTACTCCACAAATGCTCTTGTTAGCTAAG